GTTGCTAGGTGGAAGTCTTGCAAATAAATCATGAAAGCACGTGATGAGAAAGGGGGAAAAACATACAAAAAGAGTAATCATTTAAATTATGGAGTAGAAGTAAAGTATTCCATAAAAAAATAATATGAAAACATATTGAGAAAAACGTTTGCTAGGAAAATTGCAAAACTAATTTAATTCGTTAGGGGTATATTAATTCAAAAAACTTTTATCTGGAATCTGTTGTAAATCAGCTATACCAATATTGTATTTTGAATATTTAATAAGGTCAGCCACTGTTCTAAAGAAAAATATCGATTAAAATTGACGCTAAAAAGTAACAGTGTAGAGATTATCATGATTTGCAAAACAAGGAACATAGGATTTAGTTGTGGCCTCCTCGAGATTCGAAACCAGAACTTCCATTTGCCAGCTAGATGTGACAACCACTTAGTTCACGACCACACAGGAATATGTTCCTTGTATTTCCCTTCACTTAAAGGCCAAAACTGGGGAAAGGTACGAGATCCGCTCGTCTATATCCAGGTGGTAATGAATTATAGTCCACCCCATTTTATTTCAGGAGCCACTATAGCGTTCCTTAAATTTTTGGAAGTAGAAAGTCTGAAAAATCAGTTATTTAACCTAAAAGATCCGAACTTCTAATTTGCTGTTGAATGTGCTACCCATTTACTCTATGAACAAGCACGGCGACATGCAAAAATCGCTTACCATGAAATTATAAATATATAAAAGGCACACATATATTACAATTAGTCGCTGATGGGAAAAAAAAAGAAACGCTAGAATTTAATAATTATTTGGAATCAGTAGAAAATATTGCACAAAAGATAATTTTTCATTACTCATGTGCATTTTTACAACTGCAGAAATTCACTCCCCTCCGTAACACCCCTGTCTGTTTACTGCTATTTTTCTTTTTCATTTGCTGGTCTTTGTGGTTCTTTACACTTTTTTTTTTATTTATTTATGCTTTAATACTTTTTTTGTTCTTTCTTCGGTATTCGAAGTGGATTCTTCTTTCCTTTCTAGTCCTTTCCAAGTTTTATATTTGTTCTTTTTTCAGGAGAGGCATGTCTTATCTCTCATAGCAGTTTTTAATCTGATCGATATTTGACCCACTTGTTTGCTTCTCTTCTGCCTTTAAGCAGATTGAAAATCCTCTTGATATTTTGTATTATGAATTCTTCTTCAGACTGAAAACTGATTTCAATTACTTCCTATTTAGTGCCGAAGGAGAAAGAAGGATTTATGTTTAGAAGTTAATATCCAGTTTTATAGAAAAATGGTTTACGAATATCTGCCGCGTCTCTTTTATAATATAAATGTCATTCTGCTTTTTTTGTATAACATTGTGTTGCTGCAAAGATCACCAAGCTCGAATATCACATTAAATTTGTGAATTTTTTATAGTGTTGTGATTAAGTGATTTTAAAATAAATATGTTTGAATCAGGCAATATCGGTATTATATACTTCTATAAAAGTAACACAATTATTTTACACTCATACAGCTCAATATCGGTATTTCACACTTTTATAAAAGCAGGGTTGGTCAATCCAGCACCCAAAGACACGATTCCTTCCCCCCCCTTTCTATGGTTTTTTTTTTTTTTTTTTTTTTTTTTTTAACTCTTTAGCAATGGAGTTATTTTTGCGAGAATGGTCTCTCTCTCTTTTTTGTTTAGCCCAAGAGGGCGTTAGACCAGAAGAGCTATTAATTTTGAAACGGCATTTTACGTTCAATCACTTAAATGCGATGCATCACTTTTCAAATTATTGTAACCAAATATTATCGCCTTGTACTAGATTTAAAGAAAATAAATCAATGATCTAATGAATGATAAACTATTGAAGAATTTGCACGAATGTAGGCATGTTTCTTCCATTGTGAAAAATCAAAGGTCATCAAATTTTGAATAACGTAGTCTTTTACCCGAGCATGGGCACCTAGAAGCCCGAATTTGGAATCTGTTTAATTGTCTATTTCCTATTTTGTAAAACTTTAATGAATTGTTGATTAAATAACCTCAAGAATTTCAAAATGAGTAGTGGTAATACTGTAGGAAATAAAATATTTTTATCTCCACAGAGCGAGAGTCTATCGGAAATTCTAAAGTTATGCTGTTTTTAAATATTTTTCGCCCAAATGCTCTCATTGAGCCCTAGTTTAGTGTTCCTCGACTTAAAAGATTTAAGTTGACTCGAACGACCTTAATCAGCACTTTTTTTAACACGAAAGACTACACTCTTTCCTTATCCCTACGAGGACGACAGGTCTGCTATTGTATTAAGTTTATATTGTGTATGTTCCTACACCGATGGTCATATTGCAAGGAACTCCACTGATACGTCCCATAATTGAAGAGTCCATTACTACCGCCACTCATTGCAAAAATCTGAAGGTTTTTAAAATGAGGCTTCTCATTATCTTTCAAACTCCGCTCCCCACTAATTTGCTTCTTGTGTATTTCCTGGAGAGCGGTCTTATTTTCCGTGCCTTGTGGTGTTCTGCAGTTTCTTCGTACATGGCGTTCCCCACCGCAATTCCAATACTTCAGGGTTGCTTTCTTATCACTCCTGTACCGTCTCAAGAGATTGAATTGTCTGGTTAAATGGTCCAGACAAGCAGTCACTTGGTCCATTGCATCCTGGACTTGAGCCGCTTTAACTGGGTGGCTGTCTTTACGAGTTGCTTGCTGGGCTGCCTCGAATTTCATGGTATACACTAAAGCTCTTTTAAAATCCTTGACATCGGCCATTCTCAAAGCTTTCTGTACCTTAGGATCCGTGATGCCATCCATGAAGGATTCCAGGACAGTATTTCCTTCGTTTCTGTGGGGCAGTTCTAGAAAAACGAGATGAGATAGCCTTTCAGTATCCTTGGCGAGCTCCTGGAGTGTTTCCGTGGGCTTCTGTTGGCGAGATTTTAACTGATGCCATTTCTGGCCAAAGCCACTTTTAAACGCCTCTCGCTAAAGCGCAGCTCCAACGCACCGGACAGAGCTTCGAAGTCTGGCCTCTGGTTTCCGGGAACAGTTTGAAGGATATCCACTGCGTCTTCTCCCAATGAGGCAGAGAGATGTCAGGCTTTAGCTTCGGAATCCCATCGATTTGCGTTTGCTACTTTGAAGATCTGTGTCTTGCACCCTTGTCAGGAGGTCTTTCTATCATATGTGGATATCTTTAGAGAGGACCGGGACGATATATGTTCGAATTTAAAAGCGTTATAATTGTGACCAGCTGTCGTTATGGATTTCTGTAAACTTCCAAATTCATTGGCAACAGCAGCAGAAACCCTGAATTAAGTTTTTTTTGTTCCATTTATTGTTGGATAGCATAAACCCATTCTTCGATTTCTTGTTCCACAGCAGAAACTCTTTCTTGAATTTTTCCAGCTTTATTTTCAACTGTGTCTATATTGCCTTCTATAGCCTCGACTTTGTTTTCTATTATGGTAGTAATTTCTCTTTTCACTTCTTCTTGACCAGCTTTAATCATTTTTTGGCCCGCTTCCATCTCTCCTTTGACAGCCTTTTGTCCTGCTTTCATCTCTTCTTTGAATGCAGTAAAGGCTCCTATAAGCTACCTTAATTGGTTCTCCATCGCTCTTATCACTGGCATTCAGCCTCACTTCTGGCATAAAAAATTATTGCGTGCGTACGGGTTCGTAACAGATTGAATGCACACACGTCCGATGATAGATTGATAAAACTTATTTTATCAAAAGACACACTTCAGCGTTGTGGAAGTTTCTACAAAAATAGTCGTACAACTCTTCACAGTATCATAGAGTCACACTTCGGTCTACTAGAACGCTAAACAGAACGGAATGTAAAGCGCATCTAAAGAGCGAAGCTAACCCTGAGATATGTCAGTACTCCGAACTCACGCTGAAGTAACAACTCACAGCTAAGAAACTGATGCTCTCTTCACGCTGAGCTAACAAATTGCAACAACAATGACAACTAACAGAGAGCAGATGATCTCCTCGGCCTTACATAGTTTTCACCTGGCCGCCGAGATGTTTCTAGTACCTTTTGCTTCTGGAAATTACTGGAAGCCATATGAGAGCCGGGTACGTTTACAGCTAATATAGTGATTAATTACATTTATTTAATTACAATATTCATTACAGTTATACAGGGACCGAACTAAAATATCACCAAATTTGGAGACAAAAATTAGTCCCCAAAGACATTGTCAGCTTGGCGATATCTAATCAAATTAGCGAGATAGCCATAGCTGCCATGTTAAATAGACTTGTTCCTGTATTCTTACGTTTTCGGCAGAGGATCGTCTCTTTAGATTTTCATGTTACATTATACAGAAAAATAAACAATTTCACATATAATTGCCCTAAAATCATGAATCTATGTACAAAATTCGTAACAAAATTTTAACGATCGCACAAAAGGGCTGTTTAAAGTTTAAAACGTTTATCGGTGGAGATTATCATTAGAAATGGTCCAGGTAGAATAGCAAAACTTTTTATAGATAGTAGATGAATATACATTTAAACTAACGTAAGAACGCTATATATCTTATGTATATTAAAATGTTTAAAAAAATGAAATATAATTAATTTGTAAATTAATAACCTACAGATTAAATATAAGAGAATAATATCTTACGTTTTTCCGAATGGCAACGAACTCGAATAAAAAGTGAAACAATTCATTAAAGCAAAACAACGTGAAATCGTGTTTCGAAACTAACAATCCCTTCGGGCTAATATATATCAAAATTAAGCAAAATGCAAATAGGGATAATAATAATAATAATTAATTAATTAAATTGCTGACAAATACTTAAATAAATAATTTAATGTACCGAACTTCATCTTATTCGAGCTCTGGTTGGAATTATGATTTTTATGAAAGACTGTGAAGTACCAGAACCGGGTTCCGGCTGAATCGGAGCCTTACATTTATTATTTAATTATTTAATTTTCATATTTCAAGATGAAAATAACTTTTTTTTTTTTTTGCTAATTTTCAGTATTGTCTCCAGCTACCAAAGTATTTGTTTTGATCTTTTGCGTCCTACTGGGAGTCTTCGCCATGGTCGGATTATACCGAGCTTATCTTTGGTGCACCAAAGAACCAGCCCGCCGATGATGATGATGATGCAAGAAACAAATGAGAATCACAGGCACTAACGAATTTTACAGCAGAATGACAACCTTCAAGTGGATGTCTGATTTGATACTTTAAGATAACACAATGCCATTCTTTTTTAACGGATGCAATGGCTTCTGTCACCTCGCTTCCATGAATGAAGCTAAGAAAGCAAATACAAACAAAAATATCATTTATCAGTACTTGAAGCGTACATTGTATGGGAGAAGTTATGTAGATCTCGAGGTCACCTGAAGGTCAACTTTTACACTGAATATATAAGACACTGTTAAATAATTATTAAAATGTTTCTTATCAGTAAATGAATATTTATCCTAAATATTGTTAATACATCTTATGCTGTATTTTTTCTTAAGAATATCTTTTGGAAAATTCCCATTTTTCATACGAAAATTAAAACATGTTTTACAATCGCAATAAAGTTTGGAAATTGCAACTAATATTCATTTATTCCGTAATCATACAAAGTATGGAATTTCTATACATTTTAACGTCATCGGAAGATCAAGCTTTTATGGAAACTATTAAAAGAAATTTTAATGAATTTTTAATATATTTTAAGTAACTAATTGAATATTTGTGCAATATATAGCTGATACATTTTGTGATACATTTTTTGTGCAATTTCTTTTAGAAAATACTCAAATGTAATTTAAAAATTAGAATATGTTTTTACAATCGCAATAAAGTATTGATAATTGCAAATGAGATCTGTCTGTTCATTAATAAGAAAAATAAAAAATGCCAGTGAGATTGTCTGTGAAATAATGAGCCGTAATTAAGACAATTATATAATTGTTACAAAATTGATTAAGATAAGTAATCGATTAACATTATTAAGAAACCTTATAAAAAGGTGAAAAAATTATTTTGTAATATTTTTAGATAAAATTATATAATATACTTACAACTGTAGTCGTATTTTACAAATCATCATTGGCATTATTTGCAAACAGCTAGAAAAAAGAAATTTTTTTTTAAAGAATTCATTACAATGTTTTTGATGCACGAAAGAATTCGGAAATGTTTTATAGTTTATTACATAGAGATAAAATTCGTTAAAATAAAATTTTTGTTAAACCTATTTCGGGATTAAAAAATATCATTAAATCGAGTTTAAAGTAATTAAATTAAAATACGTCAAACTGCGATTTTTCTGTAAAAATACTCACATAATTATATATTTCTAAATCTTGATAGTAATTTTCTCTTTATTTAAATTCTTAATCGTTAGCCCAAAGTGGCGTTAGCCGAGAGGGCCTACAAGTCTCAAAACGGCATTTCGTGGCGTTTCATTGTAAACGGCGAAACACTTTTTGAACTGCTGCCACCAAATATTATCGTAATGTATTATATTTAAAGAATTTACATAATGAAGAATCTTCATAAATATATGTATGTTTCTCACATTGTGATGAAACGATGGCACCTAGAGCCATCAAATTCTGAATAACGTAATCCTCCACCCGAACATGGGCATCTAGACGACCGAATTTTGAATTTCGAATTTGTTTTATTAGATATTTCATGTTTTGTTAGACTTTAACGAATTTTTGATTAAGAAAGTAAAGTAAGTAAAGTGATTAATGGCAACACTGTACGGAAAATTATTTTTTATCTCCAGCGCGCGAGACTGTCTATCGGAAATTCTAAAGATATGCTGTTTTTAAATATTCCGTGATATTGCTGTTGAATTAAATTTTATGTGGTTCAAGTGCGAAGAACATGATAGTTAACGTTAAGAAAACCCTCCTTTATGTGTAATATATATATATATATATATATATATATTATTTTTGTGATATTGCTGTTGAACTGAATTCTTTAAATTTTCCAAATTATTTTAAAATTTCTTTAAATAACAAACTAATAAGTAAAATACATACTTTTAAAACTGCATTATTAGATTTAAAATTCCAAAATGTGAAAAAAGAAATTTTATATTCATATGCTTCGATTAGGCATATAATTTTTAACATGATATCAACGTTTGATTTTTACTTCTTTATAAAGAATATATTGTAATCGCAAAAAATTTTGGGTATTATATTCCAATGGAAATATCCATTTCGAAAAGTTTTATAGCGTGACCGACTGTACGTACCGCGCAGAATAAAGGTATTTATCTTCCAATGGATTGTAAAATGGATTCAAATGGGATTTTTCATTATATCTTTCATACGTTTGTATATATCTCGCATAAACTATTAGCTGTAGAACATTGAAATTTTGTATAAAGGACTACTATAACATCTAGTTGTGCACCTCCCTTTTTTATTGCAGCAGCACCAAGCGTATACCAAGCGGTAAGGGGGTGATCCCCTTACCCAGTTTAAAAGTCCTTACCTGGCCTTTATTTTCCCATTCGTTGATCGTCATACACTTCCAATTACAGAAGTGTTTTAGATGACAAAACTATCCCTGTTTAGGCATATCAAATGTAAAAAACAAATTTCGACAAACAACAAAATCTAAATATTAATGCAATCTCCCAGTTCCTATACTCATATTTTCAAAAGTTTATACTCGTTTTGGGGAAAATAAATTTATAAGAAGTTTGACTCCCGTGAGACGCACATTGACCGGGATATTTGATTTTAAAATTTGCAGTTTTTGATGTTATTTTGAACTTGTCTTGAAGGATCGGTTAATTAAGGCAGAATAATTCGAGGAAATAAGTTTGGGTCACTTGTCGCCATGACATCAGTACGCATTTATAGAAAAAAAACGATAGCAATTATTGTGACTAGCATAAGGAAGTTTAAATGAAAAAGTTGTGTATAATAATAGGCCGTAAAATGAAGTCATGTGATGTCCACATCAGATTTTTTAAATGTTATTAACTCAACGAGTCAAAAAACGTAAAATCAAATTTCAGTCTACATTCGTCCGGAATTACCATAGGGCAGCGTTTCCCAAACTTTTGCACTCTCGAAACTCCTCTTAGAATTATCTCCCGTCTAGGTCATACAAATTAATGGTAATGATAGGAAAAAAGATATCGATAAGGGAATGTAGTAATGATATATCTAAACAATTGGGCAGCGTGCATGAAGTGAAATTATATTTTAAAATTTTTAAATTACCATAATATTTCAATTTATTCTCAACGCGGTCAACTGATGTTACCAACAGATATTTTATATTGTTGCTGAAGTGATTATTAAGGTCGTTATCTGATAAATTTGTTTCCTGCAAGTTAAAGTATTTCATACTATTTATGCTATGTATATATTAGTTTAAATTGTAAGATGTAGTTGCGATAAAGCAATACTTAAAAATTAAAGCAGAATAATTTAACCAATCTGTAATAGAATTCTGTATTATATTTAACTTTATAATGTTTTGTTCAGTTGTGCTTTGTTTTGTTGTTTGTTATATTAGATAGACGTTCATTCATTTAAGCATTTAAGCCATTTAAGCTGGTGCTGCCATCTATCCGACAAATTTACAGTTATTTAATTTAAAAGTACACAATAAATGTTGTTTAAGTTATCCGCGAACGAAGGATAAATCTTATCACTACTCGCTTCGTATTTCCGTAATAGTTAATCTTGGCAAATAGTAATAGTTACTCTTGGCAAAAATCGTAATAGTTAATCGTAATAGTTATAAATCGTAATAATCGTTATAAATCGTAATAATCGTTATAATCGTAAATAGTTATAAATCGTAATAGTTAATCTTGGCAAACATGGCAGCTATGGCTATCTCGCTAATTTGATTAGATATCGCCAAGCTGACAATGGCTTTGGAGACTAATTTTTGTCTCCAAATTTGGTGATATTTTAGTTCGGTCCCTGTATAACTGTAATGAATATTGTAATTAAATAAATGTAATTAATCACTATATTAGCTGTAAACGTACCCGGCTCTCATATGGCTTCCAGTAATTTCCAGAAGCAAAAGGTACTAGAAACATCTCGGCGGCCAGGTGAAAACTATGTAAGGCCGAGGAGATCATCTGCTCTCTGTTAGTTGTCATTGTTGTTGCAATTTGTTAGCTCAGCGTGAAGAGAGCATCAGTTTCTTAGCTGTGAGTTGTTACTTCAGCGTGAGTTCGGAGTACTGACATATCTCAGGGTTAGCTTCGCTCTTTAGATGCGCTTTACATTCCGTTCTGTTTAGCGTTCTAGTAGACCGAAGTGTGACTCTATGATACTGTGAAGAGTTGTACGACTATTTTTGTAGAAACTTCCACAACGCTGAAGTGTGTCTTTTGATAAAATAAGTTTTATCAATCTATCATCGGACGTGTGTGCATTCAATCTGTTACGAACCCGTACGCACGCAATAATTTTTTATGCCAGAAGTGAGGCTGAATGCCAGTGATAAGAGCGATGGAGAACCAATTAAGGTAGCTTATAGGAGCCTTTACTGCATTCAAAGAAGAGATGAAAGCAGGACAAAAGGCTGTCAAAGGAGAGATGGAAGCGGGCCAAAAAATGATTCTGGTCAAAAAATGAGCTGGTCAAGAAGAAGTGAAAAGAGAAATTAGAAAACAAAGTCGAGGCTATAGAAGGCAATATAGACACAGTTGAAAATAAAGCTGGAAAAATTCAAGAAAGAGTTTCTGCTGTGGAACAAGAAATCGAAGAATGGGTTTATGCCATCCAACAATAAATGGAACAAAAATTAAATTAATTCAGGGTTTCTGCTGCTGTTGCCAATGAATTTGGAAGTTTACAGAAATCCATAACGACAGCTGGTCACAATTATAACGCTTTTAAATTCGAACATATATCGTCCCGGTCCTCTCTAAAGATATCCACATATGATGGAAAGACCTCCTGACAAGGGTGCAAGACACAGATCTTCAAAGTAGCAAACGCAAATCGATGGGATTCCGAAGCTAAACAGATAGACAGTTCCAACAGAGAGTGACACTAATTCAGAATGACTTTGGAATTCTTATTACTTTTTCAAGAGCTAAAATTTGTGTATGATGTACAATGAGTTTTAGCTTTCGACAGATACACACTCTTTAAATAGAAGAAAAGCAGAGCAATTTAAAACTGTAAAATTATACAGTTTTTAAATGTCACAGACAATCTGAAACTGTTAAAGTCAAAAAACAGTTCATATTGTCACATATTTTAAATAAAACTTTACAGATTTCGAGAGCAGTTCGATACTAAACGAACTCATCAATTTCATTCTTTTCTCTATGCTCTTTGAATTTTCCCTTTTGATAAAACACAACTAGATGTAACTTAAAGAAACGGTCTCAGTCCCTGAAACGGCCTCTGTCCGTGGGAAACAGCCCGTCCCTAAAACAATTTTATATGGTCTCGAATACATTTCAACTATGTATTTATTATGACACACAGATTGAACTTAGGTGCGGAGCTGCTGTTGAAGGAAAAAGGGGTGGAACGAATAATTTAGGTACTATCTTTATCACTGTGTGATTGTAAGCCAGGGTACGTGATTGTGATTTAGCATTTCATGTTTAGTTAACCGGCCATTTAAATATTCTCCATTAACAACTGCAAGGAAAGAATAAACTATCACTGATAGGTATGCCTATATTAGAATTTTTAAAGTTAAATTGTACATATGAGAAATAAAGATTGAATCAATCAAAAGGCTTCGAACATTTACTACATCTTAAAATCTGCCCTATTATTTCAAAAGAAAAATCTCAAGGATATATATATATATATATATCCTTGAGATTTTTCTTTATATATATAT